CGTCTGCGCCGCGCCGGGGTGCTGCGGTGGCCCGCAGAGCCGTCGGGCTTATTCCTGGAAATACAAGTGATAAAACACTGGGCTATCTCGGAGATGACTGACAAAGAGTCGCCTGCAGCTGCGGGGCAAGATAATTTATCAGGAGAGCGATACTTTAACAGCACGTCCTTGCCCGGGGCTGGGTGTAAGATCGTCTGCCCCCGGCCAGAAATCCTGCTCTTGGGAAGGCTGGGAATCAGGGAAGTGAGGAGAGAACGAAGGTGCTTCCAGGGACAGCGCTTGCCATCCCGTCCCGGCCTCTTGCCGCACAGGACACCCTCACTCTGTAGACTGAGGCTTTAAAATGCTTGGTAACCTTCCTTGCGTGTCATTGGAGGGGCACAGAGGGGTTAAGTATGGTATTTACACTATCTCTAGAAAAAGTCTGTCTTTTGCTTGATAAGCTTTCTCTTCTGTTCATCTGCAGAAGAGATTGTTAGCCTTGCCTGTTAAAAAAATGATGCCGTTGGCATGGGAAGGGGTGCGTCTTTTGTCCAGTGTAATTCCTTATAGTCTCCAAAATACTGTTTGCCATCCGAGCCTTTCTTAATACACAAAAATGAATATAGGCAGGGAGGAAATACAATTGTAAATGTTCTTTTTGTTTAAGGCTTAAAACTCACTCTTCCACAAATCTCTTGCTCTGGCTCCTGGCGCTCTCTGAGAGCACGCTGAATAAAGTGAAATTCATGTCTGAGGAGCAGTCATCAGGGCAGGATGGAGAGCTTGGGCCTGCAAGCAGTGACCCTTAGTGACGGGACGACAGCCTACATTCAGCAGGCTGTCAAAGGTAACGGTTTTGGGGGGCTATGAAATCTAAAAGTGTCTTGAATGAGCCTGTGGAAATTCGACTTACTGAAAGTGTCCTCATGGCATGCTGTCAGATACCTTGTACAGTTGCTTTGTACAGGAAACTTGCAGTTATCTGTGCAATTTGTACAGAAGAGTGATACAGCAAAAAGAGACCGTACCTCCGGTTTGAAAATAAAGCTTTGGAGATAGGAGAGCCGTTGCAGTATCACATGAAGGTTTGGCTCAAACTGGAGTGAGCCCTGCTCTTTCGGGGATAGTTAGGGAGATGGAGTTCACTGTATTGCCCACAGGACCCTGTTCAAGCAAAACTCCCCCTGAAGTCAAGCAGGGTGTTTTACTTCACTAAGGAGCATAAACTTGGTTCACACTAATGCTTTTCTCATTCAAATGGATGCTGAGCTTAGTGTTTGTTAGTTGAAGTGATAGCAGTGCCAGTTTCAACACCAGCTCTCGTTTTGGGGTTCGTAAGATGTTCTTTCCTCAATTACCCACCGTTTCTGAGAAAAAGAACGTGCTGTGTTCCAGCCTGCAGAACGCGTTTGTAGGACCGTTGAGTTGTGATTGCTGTCTTGCTTTTTTTCCATGTGAACTCACTGCGAGTTTATTATATTCACAGAATTGGGCTATCTTGAAAACAGCTAGGTGTCATGACCCCCAAACACTTTCCGCTAGGTGAAAGCAACCTGGCTCCCTAGTGTTCACATGGGTTGGTGCAACGGTCTCTGTGCATCAGACATCTAAGTAACTAAAATATTATCGTAGAAAGTCCTGGTGAGAGCGAGATGTTAACTCAGACAGTTGCACTGTTTTAAGATTCTTTTTTCACAACCCGCCAAGGGTAGCAATGCTCAGCCTTTTAGGGCCTGTAATTTCTTTTCCAAGAATTGACCCTCAACCAAAGTAGAAGAAAAGAAATGCTCAGTCTGCTGCTGGTGCCATTAAAAGCTCCCAAATGAGTTCTTCTGCAGTGCAAGCATAGTTGGTTACCGTTTCAGATCCAAAATGCTTAGCACCCGTCATTCTTTTGCTTATTGGCTTACGGGGCTGTGAAGGGTAGTTTGTAAACAAGTACTGACTGAGATGCTTTGTCTTGTATCCTCCTGCCTAGGAGAGGGAGACTCCAGTGTTTCTGGAAAATTAAGTGCATCCATCACTGTTCAGGGAAAGGCTTGATAAATAACAGCTTATAAGTAACAGTTTCACTGTCTTTCTGTATGACTGGTTTCCTTGAGAAGATGCAGCAAAGGGGACGGCTTGCTGGACCAGGAAGATTGTGAACTCTGCAAGTACTTCTGATGGTATTTCTGCACTGTTTCAGGTGAAAAACTAATTGAAGGGCAAGTCATTGAACTTGAAGATGGGACCACAGCTTATATCCATCAGGTGACTGTTCAGAAAGGTGAGGACCCTAAATTTTCCTTTTCCTTTCTAGAAGGATGTTGTAGGTATGACTGAAGTCTTCTGTGTCCCAGCAATTTTGCCTCTTCTCTCAGCACTAGCTTTGGGTGTTTTAGGTGTTTAAGTGTTTAGGTTTTTGGTCTTCCCCATGGTTTTGAGGCTGAATGAGCAAGGACATAGGATGCATGATTTCCTGCGAAATCCTCAGCAAACTGACAAGTTGTCGGACTTGCTGGTGGTGTAAGCAAACGCTTGTTAAATGTTATGAATGCTAAGAGTTTCGCCTGTAGGCTCTCTCACCATTTGTAAGTCTTAGCAGATCACAAGACTATAAGCAAGGCCAGTGAGCTGTGTGGTTTTTGTATGTGCTCTCTGCGTACATGTGTTAATCATACAGAACCCAAAGTTTGTTTGATCTGGGAGCAGATGAACAGAAATTTCCTCTGAACTATACGATATATATTACCCCTGGATTAGTTTTTGGGGCTGGAAGGGGACTCGAGGCGTTGGAGGGTTGTTGGAAGCCTCATCATTTTGGTCATTGGCCTGTTGGCTCTGAAATGAGGTGACATTAACTAACCTGAGGGGCTGTGGGAATTTGTTTCATGTGTCACGGAGGAAGCCTCCCCAGCCATGCTGAGCTCTTGTAAAAAGGCAGGTAGAAGGAAGTCTGTTGCTCTGAGCCATCCTCCCCTTCACTCTCCCAAGGTCCTTGTGTGGCACCTCCCTTTTCTGTTCTCAGAAGGTTGTTTGAAACCCACCTTGTATGCCTGGCTATACCTCTTTCCTCCCTTCGTCATCTTCTCTACCTCCAAACATACACACTCAGTGCCAGGAGTCGTCTTTCTCACCCCTGCTCCCTCTGCCATGGGGTGTGTGTGTTATCCCTTACAAACCACTGTACCAGAGCTTTCTGTCTTGTCTGGGATGTAACCTGGCATTTTGGAATTGGTGAGATACAGCATTACAGGTTACTGCATTACCCCAAACAGCTACAGAAATGCCATCGAGTTATGCATGAAGCCTTAAAAACCTCATAATTCGTGACTGAACGGCTCCATCTGTGTCTTAAACCCTGTAATTGTGGCAGACTTTCAGCGCAAGCAAGCGGGCTTCATGTGTGCTTTTTCATGGGAGTGAATACAGCAGTGTTCAGAGTTTGAAGTAGTATCTCTTCTAACCCGTCTGAGTCCTCCAATGAGGTTTGTGGATTTTCTTCTTTTATTTTAGAGTCTGTAGCTTTTGAGGATGGGCAGCCGGTGGTGTTGGAAGATGGTAGTATGGCGTACATACACAACACACCTAAAGGTAAAAAGCATTCCCCATCATTTCCTTAGCATCTGGAATACAAGTTGCTGAAGTGTTATCGATTCCTAAGGCTGTAGGTTGCCTAGGGAGATGAACAGTGGCTGACACCCATCAGCTCTTTTTATATTTGGTTTTGTTGGCTCCCCTCACAGAGAGTTACAACTCCAGCACCTTCGAGGCAGTCCAGCTGGAGGATGGCTCCACTGCCTACATACATCGTCCCGTCATCATGCCTCCTGGCAGCACCATCCTGGCAGTGCATGCAGAATCTGGGCTGGAGGAGTTGGCTGGAGAGGAGGAAGATGATGCCTTTGATGCTGAGACCATTAATGCATTAAAGCAGTATGCCAGCAAGGTGAGGACCCAGCACTTCTTTCGTGGTCTTCCACCAGCACTGAGGGGCTGGTGTAGTAGTCCACATTTGCCCTGGGGTTTAACTTACCTCCCTTGTTGGTACTTACGTGTGTCTGTTTTTAAGCAATGGCAGCTGTGAGAAGAGAAACTGGACATGGCTCCTGTGGGAGTGCCATCACTGTTAGCTCACTGACAGTTAAGGACCTGCAAACACGGCAGGTTCCTGCTGGACTTTCTAGCTAGTTCCAGCAGAGTGCTGGGCCTTTTACCCTTAAGCTACTGCAGGCACAGTTTTGGGAAGAGCAGAGAGCTGCTATGATACAGCTTGGACTTTGTTTCCTTGCTTTATATGCTTCTGCTTGTAGGTGTTTCTTTCTTTTTGCTACGTTGCTTGTAACATCGCCTGGTTATGATACTCTCTTCCGTGAACGATTCAGGTGACGAATCAAGACAAATCTTTTACACGTCAGGAGTGGTTAAGTGATGACACCTTTTCCCCCTATTACAAAGGCCTCAGAACCCGTAGTATCTCCAAATCCTAATATGTGTTGTCACTGCAGTACTTCACCTGAACATCTGTGGTCCTGGGTGCTGCCGTTTTCTCCCTTCCTCATAGCGTTGCGTGAGAAGGGTTACCGGGAACGTGCCAATATAGTGTTCAGCTGGGCAGCATTTAACCCCTAGGCCTTCAGAGAAGAGTGGGGTAGCACTGCTGGTGTGAATGGCTTCCTGCTTGGGCTGCTCGCCTGTTCTGCCCTGTATAGGGAGGCATGAGCAGTGCTGTGTGTCTTTGCTTGCAGGTATGTGATGAGGAAGAGGAGGGAGTAACAAACACCTGCCATATGAAGAGTGAGGATTCCAGTGACATCCCTTCCCAGGTCTGAATTTTTCAGTGATGCATTTCTGAGACGAGGCTAAACTCGTCTTGATGCAGAGCACTTTGCAGGCTAGTAACTAAGAAAGCTTTGGGGCTCCTCTGCAAGATTAGCTAATACGTTAGCTGCAGGTTTTGCAAATGAGCTAGGTGAAGCATGGAGATGCGGGTTATGTGTCTGAGAATACCCAGTGAGCTCAGAGATGGGACTGGGAAACTCTGGTTCCCAGGCACCTGCTCTGTCACCTGGACTGCATCACCTGTGTATAGCCTGTGTTTGCAGGAACACATTTTTGTGAGGATATCTGAAGGAGTGTGTATGTGGCAAGGAGAGAAATGATTCACGTGGGCTTTGCAAAGTCTGCTGTGATGGTTCACTCAGTTCAGTCCTACATATCTCTTGGCAGGATTTGCAAGAAGAAGTGCACAGCAATGAGAAGGGGCATCAGGCTGGCAGTAGAGCTTTCCGTTGTGGGTACAAAGGCTGTGGCCGCCTCTATACCACAGCTCACCATTTAAAGGTAAAGCAGCTAATGCAGTCACACAGTGTGCAGACTGAGTATGTCACTGTGTTATAATGCCAGCTCGGAACGCTTGCTGTACAAAGGGTTGAGAGTTGCGTGCTTGGGTTCCCACAGGGAAGAGGTCAAGGCACCCTGTGGCGCTAGCACATTGCTCTAAAGTGAGTTTCTCTCTGAGGTCTTCAGGGAGATGCTTTCAACCTTGAAGAACCAGAGGAAAGTGTTCTGTTTTTAATGTGGGAAAAGGCAAATGGGACTATGTCAGTGAGCAGAGGCTTTGACCCATGAGAGATCCAGATGTGTTGGCCATGGTGAAAGCCAGCACGGAGCTTCAGATTCTCTCCACCACCTAGATTTCTCTGCAGTGCTTTCTTTCCCCTGCCCTCCTTTGGCTTGGACCTCATTTTAAGGACCTATTCTTTCTGTTCCAGGTGCATGAACGTGCTCACACAGGTGATCGGCCATATACATGTGACTTCCCAAGCTGTGGGAAAGCATTTGCTACAGGTAACAGTTTCTCTTTCTCAAAAGTTCTCTGTTCTGTCCAGTCCAAACCACTCTTGAGAGGATCAGCCCTGCTTCTTTCCAGGAGAGCACAATAGGCATAGCTTTTAGAAACTTCTGAGAAGAATGGCAGCATGTGAAACTGCCTGGAACTTGACTGTTTATGAACAGACAAAATGAGTTAAGGGAAGAAGATGAATTCTCAATGGTGTTGCCACTGAGTGGTGAAGCTCTTCGGATATCCCATCCCCTTCAGGTTCTAGATTCCTAGACACAGGACAGACATTCAGAAATCTGTAGATTGAGAGGTGGCACACAGCTTGCCATGTTACTTCCTCCGCGTTATAAAATTAATTGTGTGGTTTCTTTCCTCGCCAGGGTATGGGCTGAAGAGCCATGTGAGAACACATACTGGTGAAAAACCTTACAAGTGTCCAGAAGACTTGTGTAGCAAAGCCTTCAAAACTTCCGGGGATCTACAGAAACACATCCGGACACACACAGGTGAGCAATACGGGAGGAGAACCTAGATCCCCACTGAAAGGGTGTCCGAGGTGAAGTACTGCTTCCTTTTTTGGTCTGGTTTATGCCTTTTGATATCTTGAATGAAGCAAGGTAGAACTGAAGTCCTTTTCAGACAGAGGCAGACAGTAGAACTAGGGATTCTTGACTCTGCTACTACCAACAGCAGAGCAAAAGGAGTAGGGATCACAATTTGTTTGCTAGAGGAAATATGTCAGCGCACGGCACTCACAACAGTGAGAAAAGAGCTGAGTTCTCCTTAGCGTAATACCTGTGGAGGAGTAAAGGGATACAGCTGTCCAGAGCATTCCAGGTAGCTGGGTCCTAGCAGGGCTCTCATTCTGTGTTACTCTGTCAATGCAGGGGAGCGTCCCTTCAAGTGCCCATTTGAGGGCTGTGGCCGCTCTTTTACCACTTCCAACATCCGCAAAGTTCACATCCGAACGCATACAGGCGAGCGACCATACATGTGTCCAGAGCCCAACTGCGGAAGGGGCTTCACCAGTGCCACCAATTACAAGAACCACATGAGAATCCACACAGGTAAGAGGAGGAGAGGCTAAAACACAGATGTTTCTTCCCCAGTCAGCTGGCAGCATGGATGGCGTGTGGTATTAGGGAAATCTGTGGGAGTGAAATGGCCATTTCCAGGCCAGGCTTTGTTGGTGTAGATTTGCGGTTAGCCAGGGGAGTTAAAGGAAATAGGAATTGGCTTATTGGGCTGGTGCTAGTTCCCTCTACCCCTGTGCTCTGTCTCCAGCTATTCCCTGTTGGTGGGGAATCCCTTCCCAGAGCGTGATGAGGGTGAGCGGATTAAGCTCTGCACTGTGAGGTTGGTAGAGCATGGAAAGTCACTGTGGCCTCTGCCGTAGGAGAGAAGCCGTACATGTGCACTGTGCCAGGCTGCGGAAAGCGCTTCACGGAGTACTCTAGCCTCTACAAGCACCACGTGGTCCACACGCACTGCAAGCCCTACACCTGCAATAGTTGTGGGAAGACCTACCGTCAGACCTCCACGCTGGCCATGCACAAGCGCAGCAGCCACGGCGAGCTAGAGGCCACGGAGGAGAGTGAACAGGCCCTCTACGAACAGCAGCAGCTGGAGGGTGAGCAACCACTTCCCCATCGCTTGCAGCAGGCTTGGATCAGATCATGTGGCAAAGCAGAGAGAGAACAGCAAGAGTCCGCAGCTGCTCTCCTCCCTCAGACCTGGGCCTGTGCTACGGCCTCCTGTCTCCCCCATCAAGCCCAGATCTATGTTGCAGGCAAGAGTAAAGGGTTTCCTGTGATCCTGTTTGTATGTAGTGGGGTAGGAACAGACTGCCTTCCATTCTCTGGTACGGGGAGAGGTAAAAATCCTTCCTCCCAGGTCAACACAGGGGCGTTGTCATCACGATCGCGTACTCTTCTCTTATGTTGGCCCTTCAGGGAACAGGCAGGTCCCAGGGTCGCACATGTGTGCATTCATGCTCTGATCAGGGCTTCTCTTTCACCCCCTTTGTTCTTCCTCTTCCCCGACTCAGCTGCTGTTGCTGCTGAAAGAGGCTCCCCGCTGAAGAGCCAGCATATTGCTTTCCTGTCAGAGATGGAGGAAGATGAAGACGAAGAGGAAGATGATGATGGTATACCTACGCAGGTCTCGCTTATCTCTCAGGATGGGACACAGCAGGTACGGACGCTAACAGCCTCCAGTGTTTGCGGCGGGCAGAAGTTACCTGAGGGAGATTCTGCCTTTACCCAGCCTGTGTTCTGCATTCCCCCCGAGTGCTTCCTGATGCTCCTCAACAGGGTGTCCCACAAGGGCTGGGCCTCACCTTGTTGTTCTCTTTAGAGCCCTTTTCAGTATGAAGCAGACCCCAGAGATTCGTGGGCTCTGTCTGTTGTGAGGGCTCCCTCCTTACAACCTTACCCAGCTGCTACAGTCTTGATTCGGAGGGTAGAGAACACAGGCCTCTGGTCCCTGACTCGCTTTCCGGTGAGTCTGCGGACAGAGTCTTGCAGGCATTTGTCTAGGCTGGTGTGCAGTGTCTGCCAGCCCTTGCCTCCTGGACTGCTGTCAAAAGATGGCTCCCAATCTTTGCTGACACAGGCTGGATTTGGAGATTTTTATAGTCTGTAAACATCAGCCTTGCTCTTGTGCCGTACTTCCCTCTACCAACTGCTCGTGTGCTGATGGGGAAAATTTCCTTCTGTGGCATAGGGCAAAGAAAACAGCTGCCACAAATAACTCTATAGATGCCTCTTAGTCTGAGGCGCCGCTTGCTGCAGCGATGCAAAAGCTTTTGCTTAAGAGCCTAGAAAAAAGATGCTGAAGGGAAAGGGAGGTGTGATCAAAGGGTTAGAGCCAGAGACACGAGGAGTGGGTTCTGCACTCATTCTCTCTGTCACTCTGGGCTGGGTGGCAAAGGACTGGGCAAGTCCCTTGAGTTCCCTGTGCCTTAGGTCTTGCATGCAGAGAAAGAAAATTTTTTCCTTACTGAGACGTTTGTGTTGCTAAACTCGGGAATTAAGGCTTTTTGAAAAGCTGTTTTGGCTGAAAGTATCCCCTTTTATCCCACCCAGGTCAGTCTATCCCAGGAAGACCTGCAGGCCCTGGGTAACGCAGTCAGCATGGTGACGCAGAGCAGTGCCCTTGCAGTGCCTGGGGAAGAGCTCACGGGTGATGGCTCACGCACCATGACTATGTTCAACACTGACGGCACCGAGACACAGCCGGTACAGGCAAATATGAGGCCTTCCCTCTTCCCTGCAGAGAAACATCCTGCCAAGAGGAAATCACGTTTTCTTTTAAAATGTGATTGTTTTTGTCTTAACTTTTCCCAGGTTACAATAGTCACTTCTGGGGCAGTCACGTCCGAGGAATTGTCCGTCTCATCCCCCTGTCATCAGCAGGTGGCGTTGCTGGCTACTGCCAATGGCACCCACATTGCAGTGCAGGTACCATGCAGCACCCTGAGCAGGCCTGAGCATTGTTCCTGCCACGTTCCCCTTCATTCCCTCCTATGCCTCTCCATGCACCCACTGGTGTCAGCACGTACCTCTTGCTTTGCAGTATCTGCTCTGCTCTGGGATGCTTGCTCCTTTACTCCCAGATGTCCTGTGTGTTGAGAAGAGCAGGGACATGTAGGGATAAGACTGTGGAGCAGCAGAGACCTTGGGGGAGGGCTCCTGGGGGACCTGCCTGCTGCTGGGACAGAGCTGAAAGTGCAGGAAATGGCAGAGCAGGCACCAGCTCAGTGGTACCCCACAACACTTTCTTGAACAGCTGACCCAGTTGTGTCACATCAGCACCACAGGTGACCCTGTCCTCAACTACCTGTGTTCTCAGCTGTCTGCCTTGCCTACGTGAGCAGCCTCTCACATTTGCAGAATGCTCATTTGTAAGCAGCCTATCCCCATCGCAACAGTGTCTCCTTGTTTTACCCCTGTGCTTCACGCCTGTCACCCACTTTAGATTCCTTGCACCTCTGTCCTGCTGGGGCTGCCCTGAGAGACACCAGGCCTACTGAGCCCACCTTTTGGGAGGGCAGTGTTATCTCTGTCTTTCCTCCCATAGTTAGAAGAGCAGCAGAGCCTGGAGGAAGCCATAAGCATGGCAGCAGCAGCGATCCAGCATGAACCCGTAACACTTGACGCAGCTGTGTCTGAGAATGGGTGCTGAGACCCAGCAGAGCCTCCTGGGCAGGGAGAGCAGGCAGCCCAAGCCTGTTTTCCATGGGGCATCGGGATCTGCAGGAACCAGGCCAGCTGGCGTGCAGAAGATGTGGTACATGAGCAAGGAAGGAGTCTGAGTCCAGCTGACTGCGTCCAGTGTATGCACCACACAGGTGGTGAGAGCAGATGCGGGCAGTGTTGGGCTACCGAAGTGACCCTGTATGAAGGGCTCTTCTCTCGATTGCAGGGATGTCTGAGAAACTTGGCTGCTGCCTTCTGCTGGAGCTCTGCTGTTTTCCTGGGCTCAGAGCGGTGACTTTTCTGCTCCTTGCCTTGGTGGCTGACTCCCTCTGTCTGAAGGAGATGGCAGGTTGTGTCTTCTATTATTAACTCCTTCATGGCCAAGACTTCCAGGACCTCCCAGTCTTCTGTGGTAGGCCTGGAGCTACAGTGATTTCAGCAGTCACTGAGTACAAAATCTATTTTGGAGAGGCACTTCCTGCCCTTTCCCTCTAGGAACGGTCCAACAGCTGCCTACCCCCCGTGAGAGGGGCGAGTGGGCAGCGTGTGCACAGAAGCAATAAAAGTCTCAAAAAGTGAAGCATCAGAGCAAGTCCAGGCTGTCCTGGGCTCAGTGTTTTGAGCGGCAACCACTTCCTGATGCGGGAAGTCAGAGTTTCCCCCGGCGCATACTGAGCGAGCACCCAGGCTGGCTCTACGTGCGCCTGGGCGCGACAGCAGTTCTCCTATCTCTTTACCACAATCCTCTCAGCTCTCAAGCAGACTTCCTTGGCAGACTCACTGCTGTGGAGTAGAGGAAAATGCTCCCTCCAGTGCAGCCAACCAGCCCTTCTTAGGGGCGGAGCTAGACTTGGATGTAAATATTGAGTTGAAATAAAAACCAAATTAATGTCTTCTTTTTAAAAAAAAAAAAAAAAGAACACACCCTTCTCTCCTGGAGCTGGTGGGCTGGCAGGGGAGGGGAAGGGAGGGGGGGGTGGACGTTACTCTTTTGCCGATGGATTAAGGAAGCTGAGGGAGCAAATAGGTCTATGAGCGCATCCAGCAATGTTCTTTGGCCGCTGGAGCGGGAAACCCAGGCTGGCTTCCTCAAACCTGCAGAAGTAACCTTAGCACCTCCGGTGTTTACCTCTGCCCCTGGATGTTTTGTGGACGAAGTAGCACAGAGAATGGCAGCACGAGGTCTGAGCTGTCAGGTATTTATGGGGCACGTACATCCGAGAGGCGCTCTTAGTTTGCAAAGGAAGAAGTTTCTGCAGGAAAGGCAGGGCATGCCCCTCCAGTAGCGCCTCCCTGGGAGGGCTACAGCAGGTAGATTTCGGCTTGCCTTCCCTGGTGTGACTGAGCTCAAAACAAGCAGGGCTGGAGCTCCTGCTGCTAGGGGAAACTATTTAAATCTGAGAAGAGGAAGCTACTACTTTGTGCAGGGAGGGGATCTCTGCAGAACAAGCGCTGAGAAAGCTTTTGATCTCCAGGCTGAGATTGCAAAAGACCACAAATCCTTGCACGGTTTGTGCTTGGATTCTCGCACTCGTTTTCCAAACGAGCCCAAAAGTGCCTCTCCTGCCTTCCCTCGGCTCCGGGATCTGCCTGTGCAGGTGCTCCAGGCCTGGCCGAGGCTCGCAGGGAGGGAGGGTGTCAGCAGCAGGCGTGAGCCCCCGCGAGGCGAGCGTGCAGGACGGTGTCCCCAGGGCTTGCAGATCGAGAGCTGTGAAAGGCCGTGCCCGGAGCGGGTCCCTTGCCCGCCGCCTGCCAAGGGGAGCCAAGAGCCGGAGGTGGCACGTGCCCAGAGGACCGGCGGGGAGGAAAGCGGCCGGGGGGGGCG